GGTCAAGTCTTCTTCCACACGACGCGTAGAAAATTCCACGCTGTCATCGCCAGGCGATAATGATGTCCTCGTAAACGTGATAGAGCAGCTCGTGAAGGCGAGCGTGGGGTTATTAATCACCGTTAGCTGCTTACACCCCCGTCAGACCGGGGTAGCGTCCTTACTGCGCTGCTACGGCGACGGAAAATGGGGCCAGAGCGCGTCAAGGTCGCCATAAGCGTGGTATAAGCGTGGTGGAAACGCCAGACATCGTGCTGTGTATCGCCATGGTCGCCAATGATCGCCGAGTCACGGCGTTTGTTTTTAGCATGTTCAAAACAAACGCCAAGGTTCGGCGATCTGACCTGGAACGCGGTGAGAACGCGGTGACGTCGCGAAAGTCGTGAGACAAGCGTCGTAACATCTCCATGAACGTAGTACACGCGAAAATGGTAACATTTGCAACGGCGACTTCATGGATCTGTCTCATCCGATCTGCCGATCTGTTTCATGCCGATCTGTCTCGGCCACGGTCACGGCCTCGGCCTCTGGTAGCTTGTTTCTTCGGCATCGTGTTTCTACTCAGCAAACGCACAACTATACAGTTGAAATTTCCGAAAATCTGACCAGCTTATATAGTCGCCGTGAGAACGTGCTAGAAATGCCGATGAGGTCGCCGTGCAGTCGCGATGCACGTAGAAGACGCGTGGTAAGAACCCCATAAGCGTGGTGAGAGCGCCGCAGGAACGCCGGTGATCGCCGTTGCCAAGCCCATAGATCTCAATAGAAACGCGATATGCGCGGAGAGGTCGTGGCGGTCGCGCCGTGAGAACGCGGTATGATCGCACAGGTCGCGGTAAGACTAAGAGCGCGATTTTGTTCAAGTTTGTAATTTTATGGGACTTTTTCTCGCGTTGTGTTCACGTTTTCCGGCGACCTTGTACATTTTCTGGTCGCCGTACGGTCGCGGATGGTCGCCGTCCAGTCTGACGGGGGTATTAGCCATCGCTGACGGCGCGCCGGCAAATATGGTAATGAAGTTGTTGAGAAATGAATTACGACTTTCAAATGATAGAATAGTAACATCGGACTATTTGAGTAAGGGGTTCGACTTTTGGCTCTCACAGAAGATATCAGATTCTCATCAAATACTATCATGAGTCCATAATAGAACATTCTTCTT